TTCCGTTAGATCCATTACACAAATAAATCTGAGTGACTGCAAAAGTTTCAGATAACAGTAAGTCTAAAGTTGGCAGGTGCCATGCTGGACATACATTCAAATATAAAACCTCTATTATAATTAGGAGAGTTTTACTTCAGGATCGGATTGAGCCAGTAATAGTGAATACATAGTACAAGAAATTCTCTTGTGGCTCACTTGAGACTTTCAAAAGCTCCTAAGTGACTTAGAAGCACAAATTCCACTGAAATGAAAATCACTTCAGTGCTTTTGAAAATATTACCCCATCAATGCTTGCATGATTTAAGCTTTTTTTTTTAAAAGAGTTGTTTACTTGTAAAGAAAACCCTACCAATATGAATCAATGCAGTGCTGCCTTCTAGTGTCTGCAGGCAGAAAAAACTGAAGCAACAGCTCTCTCACAGCTGTGAACAACCCCCAATCATCTCAGATGAGTGTTGACTCTGGAGCCTAATGACAACGTAAAGTTTTAAATGTTGTTAATTATTTCACTGTTAATCATTTTAACAAACATCCAGCTGTTCTAAGAGTTTGAGAACAAAAACAGCATCATTTTTTTCCTAACCTGACCCACTGGTCTTACTACATGGTCATTACCTTCTACTGTTATTTTGGGGCAGTAGTTCTGGCAATATTTGAAGTATATGTTTTATTTTTGCAGTATTAAAATTACCTTTGCAATATTCTGCTTTGTATTTTTATTTCATTTATATTTAAGTTAGAAAAAATGAATAAACAGTTTAGAAAAATAGGCCAATTTTCACTGAACAAAATACGGTATTACAGATTTGAAGGGGCCAACAAAACTAAAATCAATTTCCTTTGCTGCTAGCTGAAAATGTGTGACCTTGCAAAAAAGACTGGTTATATTAACGATGGCTCAGCATATTTTACAAGCTAAAATTTAACTTTCACATTCTTGGCAAAAAACAGAAGTGTCAGTAATTTATGTCTGTTAAATCTGCATGAAACATCACATTCAGTATGACCATTTGGAAAAGTATCCATTCTCTAAAATGGAATAGATCACGTACTCGAGAGTGTCTTGGCAGAAGATGTTGTACTAGGACTATATGTCCTAGTTCAGTGAAAAGGTCTCAATTCAGCAAGTTGTCTACAGAGCTATACAAATAAACTCAATTATCCTCCACCATTTACATCTACAAATGTTATTTTTGATGTTCTCTTTCTCTGGTGACCTTAACAATAATGGCATTTTTTTTTAAGCGATCTACAAACACACCAGCCTCAGCTTCGCCACTGCATAGTTTACAACTACAGCTACCTGAAATTTGGCTTTGCAGGAGTCAGAACAGGCATTTTCTCTGCTCAGGCACAACTGTGGGCTTGCACTCCTGAGTTTCCATTTGAATCTAACTAAATAAAACTCAGTTTCACATCCAGTCATTGGCAACCATGACTATTGTATAAATTAGATATAAAATCATAAATTTGGCCATATTCACTTAAAATTGGGCCCACTAGTCACCAAAAACTGAGCTCAGGTTAACTGGTAAATTTCTTTATCCTTAATTAATCTTTTTGATTAACATGGACTTAGTTTTTTATTTGTAACAGACCCCCAAAACAAAATATTTGACTTGATTTAGCATTCTCTAAAACATCTCAGTAAGCATTCTTCTTAATAGGCTGATTTATTTATATTTTAAATTATTAAAAAACCTATGTGACACTCCAAGTAGCGCCCTGGAATCCCCATATTCACCACTGACATACGATTATGAAATGTTTTGTACAATGCATGCCTTCTGAGGTATCATTTTAAAAGTCTTGATCTGCTGAATCTTAATATTTTGTTGAACTGTATGTACTATCATTAGTGAAGTTATGAAGTATTTCCATATGTATTACCGAAATATGTTCTGAGGTTGGGAATGCCCACAGCTAGCCTTTCAGTAGCAACAAAGAAGCAACTATCACTGGCCAGACAAGCATTGATGGCCCATCAAGAAGAATTCACTGTTCCAAAGACTCCTCAGAGAAGGCACATATGTAATGAGAGCAGCCTACCTCCATGTCACAACAAGGATCTTTCTAGCAACTGGAAGAAAGTATAAAAGAGGGACAGTGACATCATCACTTGACCCCTCTCCTCTCCCATCTCAACACTAGAAGATCACCTGGAAGACAAAGATTTTGAACTGGAGAGATTGGTGTCAGGCTGGGAAGGGAATCCAGATGCTGTGTTGAGAACTGTGAGCTGCCTGTAACGTCTATTAGGATGAGAGACTGCTTGATTCAAATCTTGCTTAGTCTCTACAATTTAGACTGAGAATTTATTTTTGTTTCTTATGTAATCAATCTCTTATAATCACAAAAAATCTGTCTTTCCATAGTAAATAAATCTGTTTTTATATGTTACCTAAAAACAGGGTGTTTTTGGTTGAAGTGCTTGGGGAATCTCAGCTCAGATTACAAAGGCTGGTGTATGTCCACTTTTCTTTCACAAAGTGGCAAACTAATTAATGAGCTTGCACTGTCCAAAGGAGTCTTGAGCAATGTAAGACGGTATATTTCTGGGGTGCAAGGCTGGGGTGATTGGCTGGTGCTTTTCTCTGTGTGATTCATGAGTGGCTCAGGGAGTATTCATGCAACATAGCTGGGTATGGGGCTCTACATGCTGATGGCTGAATGATCACAATGCCTGGAAAGGTTTTGCTGCTTGTCACTGGCATAGCATTGTGTGAGTCAGCCCAGGCTGGAAAGTTAAGGGAGCACAGCAGTTCCACAGTTCCAAGTTGTACCCTGAGGAATCCCATCACAATCTATCCAAGATGCCCTAACACATAATTAATTACAATGAAATCATCACAGCAGCATTAAACTAATCATTTCAGCAGGAACTCAGCCAGCCAGCCACCTACAGAAATTCCTCATCCCTTCATCATTATAGGAAGCATACCTCTGACAGTTATATCCTGCCTACATTAAAGGCTATTAATTCTGTTCTGAACACATTACATCGCACATGTTATTTGTGGGTTGGCAGATGGAAAAATATATAAACAAAAATGGAACTCTGTATGATTTTTTGCTGACCTGATGAAGGCCAGTAACAAAATCAACCATAAATATGGTTCACATGATCTAGGAAAAAGGGTGGCATAAATAAAAAGCACAAATCTTCCATCAATCTGTTAATGAAAAAAAGGACAGATGTATGGGAGTTTTGCCTGGGTAAGAAGTACAGGATTAGACCCCAAGTATTGCCAATATCAATGAATATACACCAAAAGTAAAACATTCAGGAGGCTCATAGCCTACACCAACTTCACTGCCTTTTGCAGTCACTATCAATCATAAACGGAGCAGTAACAGTGTTAGTTTAACACTAGCATGGTAAAATAGGTAATTGTTGCAGATTAAAATGCCATGTGAAATGAAAGTGCCATCAAGATGCTTTCTAGTTGCTTGGCATGTGTCCCATATAATGACTGTATTTCTTTGATTACAAAATGTAACCGTTTACCACAAACTAAACAAAAAAACCCACAAAAAGACAATAGCAACAGCCTGTGTGAGTGATAGTATCATTAACTGTTATTCCCTGCTGGAACTGGCAGGTGAAACCTAGAAACATGATTGCTTGTTCAAGTAAGATTTATATTTCTTTTACCCTTTTCCTTATTTAATTGTACTTTATTTTTAGCTATCAAAATAATTTTTAATTTTGCTGCATCTAAAAACTATCAGCCTTGTCATTTAAAATAATGATTTTTCTTTATTTAAAATAATTTGTTGACAATCGCTGTTATTCAATCCACATCAGTTAAGTATTCTTAGAATACAAACCGTTCTATTCTCAAATAGTTTACATGGTGTGTGAGAGTGATTTTCATATAAACTAAAAGAAAAATTGATGGCATGTATCTTTTTCATTAAACTTACACAAAAGGCAGCAACATTTCTAGATGTTTCCATTTGAGGCCCCATCCTGCAATGGGATTCATATGGGCAGACTCCTGCACTTGAGTGGATCCTCCACCCATGCGGTTCCACTTTAGAACGGATTTCTTCACAATCACTTTTTTGCCTAACACAGGAATTCTTAATTTAAAGTACCATGGATGAAGCAGTTATGACTTGTAATACTGTAATTTACATTTCAATAAATTAGAGTGGCATTTTACACACTAACTGGCTTTTCTCTAATCAACGCATGTTGTGCCTAATTCTGCATCCTTAAGCACCCATCTGAACTTAACAGGTGTTTCTAGTACATAAGAAATGTAGGATCAAATCTTCTGTAATTTGTGTAACAAACTTAAGTTTCCCCCACACATACCCCAGTTCTCAAATAATAACAGAGCTGTAATGAGGTTTCGGTACTACATTTTCATTCTCTTTACTTCCGTGTATTTCAGCACATTTACTTGTATACTGTGATAACTGAAACTAAACTACAATTGCCAAAATAAAATAACTGTAACAATAAGTTAATGCAACAATGAAGTTTATATTTCATCAAATACAAGAAAGAACATGCAAAATAATGTTTCTCACATGCACTGGAGCTCCTCCTTGCAAATATTTAGTATTTTGTAAAATTTGTTTGTACATGATGCTAATTATGTAAGTTATTACATCTGTGCATTATAGGTGAGTTATGGGGTACTGAAGGAGGGCAGGAATCATAACTGAATTTCCTGACTTTGTGTTTGCAAAATCTCAAGGCTAAGATTGTATTAACATTGTTTTTTGCCTTTGATTTACTTTAAAGAAAAGCAGAGGTTGGTGTATTATTTGGACTGTCAATAAAAACACAGTCAAATAAATACACGTTTGAATCCACTTTTGTATGCTGTTTTACCCACTATGTACAGCACTGTGCCCTGAACAGAAGGGAGGAGAATCCCCCCAACTGGAGGGGTATCATTTTCAGTCAGGGGGTGGAGGGTTTTGCTGGGTGTGGCTCTGTGAGGGATACAGGGAAGTTCCCCGCAGACCTCGCCACAGCCTGAGGCAGCAGCAACCTCTGTTCCCCACAGGAGGCTGGAGGGAGAGGCGCGCAGGAGGAACCCGCCAGCTCCGCTCCGCTCCCGCGCACGCCGCAAACGCTGCGCCCTGGTGGGTAGGAGGGCGCGTGCAGAGCCGGTCCCTGCTCCGCGCGCCGGCTGCCGGGGGATCGGAGTCCCGTCCCCGGCTCTCGTGTGGTTAGCAGGGGCCGCGCCCCCAGCTCAGTAGCCGGCGGCGGAGGTTCAGCCCGCGCACAAGCTGGGACTCTCCGACGGCCGCAGGAAAAAGCCCAGGACACGGTAGAGGAGGGAGGCACAGAGCCGGGTCAGCGTAAGCGCTTCAAGGGCGTGTTCGTGTGGACGCGCGCCGTGTGTTGAAGTCCGGGCGTGGATTGGGTGTCCGCATGGCTGGGTACGTGCGCAGGTGTGTGCGCGTGTATGTAGCTGGGTGTGAGCGTGCATCTGTGTGGGTGTGTGAACGTAGCTGTGCTGGCCACACGTGCATTCATGTGTCTGTGGTGTGAACGCGTGTGGAGTGTGTGTCTGTGTGGTCCTGTATAAATATGCGTGGTTATTTTAAAAATTAGTAACTTTATGAAAGGTAGCTGTAATCACTTGTGTTTAAATTATGTATCTAACCAACCTTTGTTTAAAAATATTTCTATTGGGTCGATCTACCTGCAGACTAACCCAGGCTTAATGTTATCAGAGAATGAACTGTGTTCTGATAATTTTTGAGCAAAAGAGAAATTAAAGTATAACCTGCATGATTTTTTTTTTAAATTAAACACATTTCATCTGTATCTTTTCCAAACATATAAGATAAAAAAAATCTAAATAATGCAGTTGTGACTAGAATTCTTGGATGAGAAACACATGCAAAGTATTCTTCTTATTATAATATTTTGGATGTTCATAGATCATTTTCAGATACATCTTTCTTTCTATACCAATTGAGAGATTTTTTCTCCTCCTGCCTTTTGTGTGTGTAGTTCTTTCTGTGGCTACCATCCTGCCAAAAAATTGTTTACCAAGCCCGCAACTGAGACAGTTGTGTTTATTCTAGGAGTTTGCATAGATCTCTGGTATCCTTACACTACTGTGGAGGGGAGATGGGACAATCAGCAGCTGAATAGTTTAGTCGTAAGCATAGAGACTTCTGGATGTGAGGGTGCTGTGAATAACCACTCCAGCTGTGCTGTACAATTAGTCTTAATGACAGAGAATACACTATGACCGCTCTTTGTAGCAGGAGTAGCAATGTTGGTGAGAAGAATCCACAGTGTTTTTTCAGATTCCCATATAACAGTGTGTTAAAGAATGAGAATGCTTTTGATGGCGGCTTTCCTCTTGCCAATCCTGGCTTGATCTTTGTATGTGCCTTATCATGAAGGTGACACCCACTAGGAGGAATAGGGGACAGAACTGCCTTCAGAATTCCCCACAAGCGCTGCTCCTACTCATCACTTGATTATTGGCATATGTAGGGTGAGTAGTGCCATAAGTGATACTGTGTCCATTTTCCTTCCCAGCAGCAATATCTCTAGTTTTAAATAACTCCTATGTTCAGTACTACTAAAATCTGTAAAGTCACTGCAGTCATATTAGCTGCCAAAACCGAAAGCAAATATGAATGCTGCTTTCACAGTATATGTGATACTTTAGGGAGACACTACCAGCACTTCATTATTTTAGTTTAACCACAAATCTAGGAGCAACATTTTGTATTCTAAAACACAGCCCCACTAGTGTGCCTTACCTGTGACCTGAAGGGAATAACTCTAGAAATGAGGGTGTATTACAGTCTCCATGACCAGTCAAATGCTGGTGTCTTGGATGAAACTGTCAACAAGGGCCAGAATCTGGGCTCAATCCTGCAAAAGAAACTCCTTCCTGAAAATGTCTAGAAGACTCCTAAGCAGATAAAAGGATACTGAAACTAAATGAGTAGGGTTAATACAAAGAAAAGCAATAAGCAGTAATCTATAGCAATAAGGTATTCCAAGGATACTTACAAAAAAGGGGGAAAAAGGTGGGAAAAAAGTTTGAAAGAAATATTGTTAAAAATACTGGCTCTGTTGTCCGAATTAAAATGATATGATAATGTTTTAAGATGGCAAAGGGGAGAGGGTTTTAAAAAATCCGTATTTGAGGACCTGACCTTGAGTTCAGTAACTGTTTTGTCTGAGTAATGAGGGCAGCACTGGACACTGAAAGGGAGAGTAAAGAACTAAAATAAAGCAATCAAATTCTTTAAAGAATCTTTTGTCTTCTTAAAAGGTTATTGTTGTCAGGGGTGATAAATCCAACATGTAACCGGTCCTAAAACCTCAAGAATTCACTTATTTAAGCCTTTATATACCCTTTTATTTTTTTAACAACAATAAATAATGATATTTTAGATCATTGAAACAGCTTAATTTTAAAACAAAACAAAATATTTCTCCACCCTGGCTGGAGTGAGCATGCTTAGTTGTTGCATGGAGAATAATCACCTTATGTTCGTCTGTGCTGAACCCTCCATCCAATGAAAGAGGGTGCTGATGGCCAGTTGCTGTGATACATGGCAGAGAGTCAGCAAAGCGAAGAGAGGTAATATTTGGTTTACACATCCAATTCCTTCAATCATGGGCAACCCAAACATGACAGGAACTGTGCACTGCCATTTGGTTCTGAGTGTTGGCATCCCTGTGTAAGTATAACTTGCTTTGCTGCCCTGGAAGTCCTGAGAGAGAGGCAGGAACTATCTTTGCTTCTTGGTGCAGTCTGATATTAGTCCATCATTCTTCTGGCTGAGCAGAATTAGTCAGGACCATCGCTGGATCCTGTCAGCCTATTCTCCCATTGAGTAAGACAAGACTCCTTCCCCTTCCTCGCTCATCACTTCGACTAGGGAGAAAAGAAGTGGCTTCTGAGACTGAAGCGATTTCTCCTGCTCAGTGCAGAGCATACTGCTGCTGGACCATTATTTTACAATTTTCTTCCATGTTTATTATGAACTGAGAGAGAACTCAATTATATTTTTACGTGTTTGCAAACATCCTTGGGAACAAACTGGGACATTTTCCACAAGCAGATCAAAAGGTAAATGGGTTTTTTGAGTGGTCTTCAGTCAAAACTCACCTATCTTTGTTTTCTGATATATTTCCTGTGCACCTTATCTTTTGAATGTTCAGATAGCTTAACTGACCTGAGTAGTTTTCAATGCAAAACCTGCTCCCCTGAGAGCTTTATTTTTAATTTGTTCATATCAGGATAGCTGTAATTTAATTAAAAGTCTCCCTGAAATAAACTCACGCTTTCATTACAGAAATGTTGCACTCAAATTATTTTAAAATAAAACTGAGACGATCAGGAACATCTTTTAATACCGGTGCTATGCCTGTCAGTTATGAGATTGTGCAGAACTAACCCTCCTTATCCTTGGGATGGCTAATGGGAAAAATAAATCTAAACAGAGGGATGTTTCTAAATCCTGTACTTTGTCACTTCCTTATTGCTTTTGAATGTCTCAATACCTGTCTCACTTATGCCTTCGGAGTCAGGGACAGCAGAATCACTGGAGGATATGTGTGGATCCTTAGGACTAACGTTGAATTTAGGATGTGTGCCACTAATACTGAGCTCACGAAGCACCATCTAAGCCAGAGGTGGGCAAACTACAGCCCACGGGCCACATCCGGCTCGCGGGACCATCCTGCCTGGACCCTGAGCTCCTGGCTGGGGAGGCTAGCCCCCGGCCCCTCCCCTGCTGTCCCCCTCCCATGCAGCCACGCTGCCACGTGTGCAGCACTCTGGGTGGCGGGGCTGCGCGCTCCTGTGGGGCAGTGCGGCGGCATGGCTGGCTCCGGCCAGGTGGGTGGCTGCCAAACATGCTGCTCTGAGTGGCATGGTAAGGGGGTTGGGGGGGGTTGGATAAGGGGCAGTGGGTCCCGGGAGGCAGTCAGGGGACAGGGGGCGGTTGGATGGGGCGGAGGTTCGGGGGGGGGCAGTCGGGGACGGGGAACGGTGGGGGGTTGGATAGGGGGTGGGGTCCTGGGGGGAAGTTACGGATGGGGGTGTGGATAGGGGTCGGGACAGGGAGCAGGGAGGTTGGATGGGGGTGGTTAGGGGCAGGGGGTCTTGGGAGGGGGAGGTCAGGGGACAAGGATCCGGGGGGGTTGGATGGGTCAGCGGTTTTGAGGGGGGCAGTCAGGGGGCGGGAAGTAGGAGGGGCAGATAGGAGACAAGGGGCCAGGCTGTTTGGGGAGGCACAGCCCTCCCCACCCAGCCCTCCATACAGTTTTGCAACCCCCATGTGGCCCTCGGGCCAAAAAGTTTGCCCACCCCTGATTTATGCACGTTTGAGAGTAGAATTTGGCTTTACATCATGTGACGACTGACAGCTTATGTTTTATAAACTTCTTCATAGATAGACTGAGTGCTAAAGTTACTGACAAAGGGATCCCTTGTCTTGTAATCTTAGCTCTGGTCTACACTAGGACTTCAGGTCGAATTTAGCAGCGTTAAATCGATGTAAACCTGCACCCGTCCACACTATGAAGCCCTTTATTTCGACTTAAAGGGCTCTTAAAATCGATTTCCTTACTCCACCCCCTGACAAGTGGATTAGTGCTTAAATCGGCTTGCCGGCTCGAATTTGGGGTACTGTGGACACAATTCGACGGTATTGGCCTCCGGGAGCTATCCCAGAGTGCTCCATTATGACCACTCTGGACAGCACTCTCAACTCAGATGCACTGGCCAGGTAGACAGGAAAAGAACCGCGAACTTTTGAATCTCATTTCCTGTTTGGCCAGCGTGGCAAGCTGCAGGTGACCATGCAGAGCTCATCAGCAGAGGTGACCATGATGGAGTCCCAGAATCGCAAAAGAGCTCCAGCATGGACCGAACGGGAGGTACGGGATCTGATCGCTGTATGGGGAGAGGAATCCGTGCTATCAGAACTCCGTTCCAGTTTTCGAAATGCCAAAACCTTTGTCAAAATCTCCCAGGGCATGAAGGACAGAGGCCATAACAGGGACTCGAAGCAGTGCCGTGTGAAACTTAAGGAGCTGAGGCAAGCCTACCAGAAAACCAGAGGGGCGAACGGCCGCTCCGGGTCAGAGCCCCAAACATGCTGCTTCTATGATGAGCTGCATGCCATTTTAGGGGGTTCAGCCACCACTACCCCAGCCGTGTTGTTTGACTCCTTCAAAGGAGATGGAGGCAACACAGAAGCAGGTTTTGGGGATGAAGAAGATGATGATGATGATGAGATTGTAGATAGCTCACAGCAAGCAAGCGGAGAAACCACTTTTCCCGACAGCCAGGAACTGTTTCTCACCCTGGACCTGGAGCCAGTACCCCCTGAACCCACCCAAGGCTGCCTCCTGGACCCGGTTGGCGGAGAAGGGACCTCCGGTGAGTGTA